TGTGTGTGTGGGTGATCAATGTTGATTCTATCACCTTGGCTTGAAAATATATTCTTTTCTGTTAACTTCAAAAATATCTTGGGGTCCTTGAATAAATTTAAGACCTTTGCAGAAGAAAACATTTGCAATCCACTCAAAGACTGCTGTCACACTGTTTATAAAATCTTTATCACGGTTATTTTCGGACATAATACATCACTCCGTTTTCCACCAAGTCTCTCCTGCTTTTAGCAGTTTGATTCATAGCTCAGATTTATCATGTTTACCAGTGTTTGCTGTAACCCTCCCTCTCTATATATGTCTTTGCATATTTGGGTATTCAGCCTCAGCTGCCTTGCACAGAATAGCGCCTGCACCATTCTTTTCTGTCCAAGGTTTTCTCTGTGAAAATGTTCCATCTAAGCTTTTTTCTTCAATCACTCCTTTGCTCTGTTTTGACCTATGTTTTTGGACCACGCTGCTGGACTCTGTCCCAGACTGTCCTCACACATCTAAAACCATGCTGTTCATTTCATTTGTTTTTATTCTTTTTCATTTACCACAGTCTAGACGTAGAATCCCAAGGCGGCTGGCTGCGGTACAGCCTCGATTATACACCTAATCAGACTTTAGCACACAGCAGGAGCGTAATGACTTAATATCCTTTCAGTGGGCAGTGCTATAGATGGGTTACAGTGCGTCTGGGGCAGGGCTGCCCCTCTAATCTCTCTTCCCTCAGCTGTACCAGACGTCAGCGGATGGGGAGATTGAGGGAATTCTGTAGCCTGCCTTAAACAGCACCATGGTTATTGCGCAGAGAAATGTTATGACCAAAAAGCTGCCGCAACCTTCCTAAAAGTCAGCATAATCAGGAGTTAGCAGGTATATGCTTTTAAACTGAACTTTCTTGTTTAGGAAAACTGATCAAAATATTCTTCATCTAGCACTCGGGGGCATATCAAAATTTTTGTCCAATCAAATGCTCTCCAGATTGAAAACATCTTGCCCCTGCCTCTGACTAGCAAGTAGCACATTATATTTAAAGGCTGTGATGTAAACAAAAGCTCCTGGCTATTTTAAGAAAAGGGACAAGTCCTGCCCCAACTTCCTGTTTCAACAAGAATCATCAATACCTTTCCCTCCTAATGCCAGTATGACGTACCCTAACTGTTCATTTAGGCCGGAGAAGAACTGGTCCCCCGACTGAGCCTGGTTTCTCAAGTTCTCTATTTTATTCTGATTCGGTTCTATTCTGAGGCATGTTTTTTTATGTCTATTCTGTTCTATTGTATACTATTCTTTTCTATACTTTAAGAGAATTATTTAATTCCTTCTGAGCCATTTTGGTAACACTTTAAAATAAAGTTCCATTTGTTAACATTAGTTAACTGCATGCTAATATGAACTGACAATGAAAAAATGCTTCTAAATCATTTCATATTCTTACTGACTTTTAATAATTATGTTAATTTCAACATAATCTAATGAGCTAATGTTAGCTAGGCAGTGTTTGCTGTAACCCTCCCTCTCTATATATGTCTTTGCATATTTGGGTATTCAGCCTCAGCTGCCTTGCACAGAATAGCGCCTGCACCATTCTTTTCTGTCCAAGGTTTTCTCTGTGAAAATGTTCCATCTAAGCTTTTTTCTTCAATCACTCCTTTGCTCTGTTTTGACCTATGTTTTTGGACCACGCTGCTGGACTCTGTCCCAGACTGTCCTCACACATCTAAAACCATGCTGTTCATTTCATTTGTTTTTATTCTTTTTCATTTACCACAGTCTAGACGTAGAATCCCAAGGCGGCTGGCTGCGGTACAGCCTCGATTATACACCTAATCAGACTTTAGCACACAGCAGGAGCGTAATGACTTAATATCCTTTCAGTGGGCAGTGCTATAGATGGGTTACAGTGCGTCTGGGGCAGGGCTGCCCCTCTAATCTCTCTTCCCTCAGCTGTACCAGACGTCAGCGGATGGGGAGATTGAGGGAATTCTGTAGCCTGCCTTAAACAGCACCATGGTTATTGCGCAGAGAAATGTTATGACCAAAAAGCTGCCGCAACCTTCCTAAAAGTCAGCATAATCAGGAGTTAGCAGGTATATGCTTTTAAACTGAACTTTCTTGTTTAGGAAAACTGATCAAAATATTCTTCATCTAGCACTCGGGGGCATATCAAAATTTTTGTCCAATCAAATGCTCTCCAGATTGAAAACATCTTGCCCCTGCCTCTGACTAGCAAGTAGCACATTATATTTAAAGGCTGTGATGTAAACAAAAGCTCCTGGCTATTTTAAGAAAAGGGACAAGTCCTGCCCCAACTTCCTGTTTCAACAAGAATCATCAATACCTTTCCCTCCTAATGCCAGTATGACGTACCCTAACTGTTCATTTAGGCCGGAGAAGAACTGGTCCCCCGACTGAGCCTGGTTTCTCAAGTTTTGCTTTTTCCCCTCCATTTCTGTCACCTGATGTTTGGGTTCCTTGCCACCTTTCGATTTGGCTTACATAGTTGGGTCTAAAAAACACTACACAATATTACAATACAATACAAAACACAATATTCAGTAATGTCATTGATTTGACGGCGCTGATTATCAGATGAGAACAAAATTTTAACTGAATTGAGCTGAATAATAACACTATGGTCTGCTGCAGAGCTACTTTAGAGTGGAATGAAATTTAATTCATGAATTTTGCAACATTTGCACTGTTATTGAACTGAAATGAACACTGAACTGACTTGAGTTGAATAACGACACTACTGTCTTCATTTGAACTGCTTATCACTGAATTGAGCTTGTTTCATAATGAATACATTTACATAGTTATTGAACTGAACTGAACCAACACTGAACTGACTGGAGCTGAAAAAATGATACAATTGCCTTGCTGCTGCTGCTTAATAGCAGAATTTCGGATTTGCCTCATTTTTGAAGTTTACATCATTGATTCTGTTACTTTCTTGTTTTTATACTGTGAAGCTGCTTGACGGCGCAGAAGCTGCGCCCATCAAACTATTAAATGCAGTCCAGGCTGGGTTTTACTGGTTAGTTCTGGTTTGGTGCTGGTCTAGTATGTTTTGATAAAGGACACCAGCAAAAGTATCCAAAAGTCTTTTATTTTTTTTAACAGGGATAGTATCAAACTCATTGGGATTCTTCTTTGACCCACCACAGTTCAATGCTCTGAACTCAAATATGTGGTCATTATCATCGGCACCCCTGCCGGCACCCATTTGTATGCTTGTGTCTCTGTGTGTTACCATCCAGTTGGAACTGAAAGAAGGCACAGGTGTGGCAAACGCCGAAGGTGTTCAGATTTTGTGTGTGTATTATTGATTTGATGGAATGTATGTTTGTTCCAGGCTGAACTTGAGATGCAGCTGGCATTGGAGCGAGAGGAAGAGACTCAGAGACAGACCGTGTTTGAGCAGGAGAGGAGGGACAGAGAGTTGGCCATGAGGATCGCTCAGAGCGAGGCAGAACTCATCCAGGATGAAGCTCAAATGGACCCCAGCTTGCGCAGGTACACACACACACACACACCATAATAAAATAATAAAGTCGACATCTCAAATGGCGTCACCAGGTGAAATCAAACAAAAGAAGACTCCACGCCGGGTTGTGCCCTGGTTACCATTCATAAAACGCACATAAATCGCAGATATTTTTAAATGGAGATTTCCATCTGAAAAGAGCCTGTATGGTCTTGAGTGGCGACAGAACAACAAACAAAGAACAAGGTTCTGCCAGACAGCGTTACATAAATGCCATGAATCATTTTTACTGCGGCCAACCCATGTGTCTACAAAAGCAGGTAAACAGAAACACGAGACGCCTGCGGTGCAGCACTGAGAGTCATATTTCATTTAGTTAATGGAAGTGGACAAAGAAGTGTCGCCTGTTCCTACTTTATGTATAATAAAATAAAAGGCAGTTCTGCTGTTATTACATGTGCTAACTGGGTGCTAAGAAGACCGTGTTGTCATCCAAACCTCTTTTTTGTGCTTCCTCTCCCCTCCAGTGATGGTTGCACAGGTGTTTGGTTCTTCACAGAGATGTAAGACCTAGAACAGGCTTCTTTTTTCCCTTGATTTTCCACTTAATTCAGTCTTAACCACACTCATCCACAATCACGTCCTGTCCCCCTAATCTCACCACAACCTAGATAGAGGATTACTCATAGAAAGTCACGGTAAACAATGGGCAAATTCTTAGTTTTGATATTAACCTAAATACTTCATAAAGTACATGAATAAATTATTTTATTGGAGTTCTTGGATTGAATAGAGACCTAGCACGTGGTTATATTTGTAGATTTGTATTTTCCAGCAGAAATGGAGCGTGAACCAATTAAATCCAGGACACAGAACTTTTTTTTTTCTTACTGTTGTTCATTCTTTGAACAACCCCCCCAACACTAAATATTAATATTTGGCATTTAATATTAATATACAATAATATACAATTTTTTGCTTGACAAATGATAAAATAGGCACAAAAATCACATAAACTTGCACTAAATGAAGGATCCAAGTCATATCTAGAGATCAGAATATCATAGAGAGTTGAGAATGGGCTCTTTTGACTTAGGAAAGCACTTATCAACACAATATAGAATGTATAGGAATGTCCTGGCAACCACTCAAAATACTCTATTGTTGTGGCATCTATTTTTTTTTTTTACACTTAAGCACCACTCATATTTTCCTCAGAAAATTTACAAATTTAGTTGTAGATTAGAAAAATTACTAATTAAATTTAATTATGAAAAATTGCTAAAGAAATCATAGACATAGAAAGTGCTTATAGGAGTCTCTTATAGGTGTTGATCCATTTTGATCTTATTTCCTTTTTCTGTTATGCTAGGAGCTCAACAAGCCTATTTCCATTTACTTATGTTGCCTCAAAATATATGTTGAATTTATGCATGTCTCAAGCTCTCAGCATGAACATTTTCAGCGCTGGATGATGGTGCTTGAGAAAAAATCTTGCCTTTTTGTTTTAGTGTTTACTGAGAAGGGTTGCTTTAAAAGGAAAGATAATTTTGTTACAGTGTGTTTATGATTCTCATTCTTGTGCTGTCATCTGGAGTCATCAGATTCAATTAGCTTATAGCAGAGGGCAGTTTATGGCAGTTTACCAGTGCTGTGGAGTCATTAACTAGAAGCAGTGTTGCTTCTAACTACCTACATTTTTATAGTAATAATTTTAGAGGTTTGGAATATACAGTTCTATTGCAATTTTTACATATTCTATTTTCTACTGAATCCCATAGTCATTGATTGCTTTAAGAAATGCTTAAAATGTATGAATGTCATTGCTTTGCATAAAATATCAAATGACATCTGCAAACTAATTATGGTAAAATGCAGTCTCAGACACTTTTGTTTACTTATCAGTCTTGAAAATGGTTGCACTTCTTATTATTTTTGTAGAAACAGCATTTATATGAAATTAGTCTTTTGTAACATTATAAGTGTCTTTACAGTCTTGTAATAATATAATATATTATATAGTCATTTTAATATTTAATAAAATTACTTAAAAAAATTATTTATAAATCTGCTTGGAAAATGTGCTTGTGCTATCTTTACAATAAATGGCACTTGGTTTGATATTTTGTTATATATAATGCAGTAACACTGATACATTTTTAATATGTAGATATTTTTTGGGGCTGCTGTATATTTTAAAAGGTATTTCCCCTATTAAAGGGGTGGTTCATTGCGATTTCACTTTTTTAATGTTAGTTAGTGTGTAATGTTGCTGTTTGAGCATAAACAATATCTGCAAAGTTACGAAGCTCAAGCCTAGAAAAAACCCAGTGAACCACCCCTTTAAGTAGTTTTAATGTAGTTCAGTACTTTTTGTTATTAGTTTGAAATGTAGTAATCACTTTCTTAAATGCTTGCTCGACTGTAGTTTAACTGCTTTGAATTATGAGTAGCTTCCCCAGCACTAGTGTTGACATTTATTTTCTGTTCCTCTGTGTGTTTGAGTTAGCACTCCGCTTACACCTGTATGAGTGGGTTAATCAGCAGGGTTGCTGGTTCAGTGACTTCTCTCGCAGGGTCTCCGTTAAGCAGCTTTGCTCTTCACAGCTGTCAGAGTCGACAGAGTGTCCCTACATCCATTGTCACCATGTTAAGCCATGTTAAGCCAATATCTCAATGAACACAAAAACAATTTCCAAAATGTTGACAAGACTAAGTTTAATTTAACATCTGTTTAACTTATAACATGAAAGTAAGGTTAATAATATAACTTAGATTACACATTTTTCAGTTTTACTCAAATTAGGGTGATGCAAAAATGAGTACACCCCACAACAAATCTACTACATCTAGTACTTTGTTAATGACAGTACCAAGTCTTCTAGGCATGGAATGAACAAGTTGGCGACATTTTGCAACATCTATCTTTTTCCATTCTTCAAGAATGACCTCTTTTAGAGACTGGATGCTGGATGGAGAGTGATGCTCAACTTGTCTCTTCAGAATTCCCCATAGGTGTTCGATTGGGTTCAGATCAGGAGACATACTTGGCCACTGAATCACTTTCACCCTGTTCTTCTTCAGAAATCCAACAGTGGCCTTAGATGTGTGTTTAGGATCATTGTCATGTTGGAAAAGTGCATGACGACCAAGGGCACGGAGTGATGCAGCTTCTCTTTCAGTATAGAGCAGTACATCTGTGAATTCATGATGCCATCAATGAAATGCAGCTCCCCGACACAGCAGCACTCATGCAGCCCCACATAAGGACACTGCCACCACCTTGTTTCACTGTAGGCACCATGCATTTTTCTTTGTATTCCTCACCTTTACGACGCCATACAGTTTTGAAGCCATCGGTTCCAAAAACATTTATCTTGGTCTCATCACTCCAGAGTATAGAGTTCCAGTAGTCTTCATCTTTGTCAGCATGGGCCCTGGCAAACTCTAGGCGGGCTTTTTTGTGCCTGGGCTTTAGGAGAGGCTTCTTTCGTGGACTGCACCCATGCATGCCATTCCTCTGCAGTGTACGCCATATTGTGTCACGGGAAATAGTCACCCCAGTTTGGCTTTCTACTTCTTTAGATTACTGCATTGAACTTGCATGCCGATTTTCTTCAACCCTTCTCATCAGAAGACGCTCCTGTCGAGGTGTTAACTTCCGTGGACGACCTGGACGTCTCTGTGAGATGGTTGCAGTTCCATCTTTTTTAAATTTTTGTACCACTTTTGCTACAGTATTCTGACTGATAAGTAAAGCTTTGCTGATCTTCTTGTAGCCTTCACCTTTCTTGTGTAAAGAAATTATTTTCTTTCTCAGGTCTTGTGACATTTCTCTTCCATGTGGTGCCATTGCTGACAGCATGAAATGGGAAGGGGTTTTCTTTAAGTAACACCCTTTTATAGTCAGTGGTCTGCTGGACACCTGTGTAATGAATAATTAGACTCACCTGTGGTTGAATTCTTGTTCAAATGAATTAGACATTTGTATTCTAAAATTTAGCTTTGCTCCAGAGACTTTCAGTGGGGTGTACTCATTTTTGCATGACCCTAATTTGAGTAAAACTGAACATTTTGTTCTCTAAGTTATATTATTAACCTTACTTTCATGTTATAAGTTAAACAGATGTTATATAAAACTTAGTCTTGTCAACATTTTGGAAATTGTTTTTGTGTTCATTGAGATATTGTTTAAAATGTTACTTTTCAAAGGGGGTGTACTCATTTACACTGAGCACTGCACTTGGGGTTAGGGTGGGGTATAGGAAAAATTCAGATCAGACTGTGAAAGAAAATCTCATAGGAGGGATGTTACAGCAACTACCCAGAACACCCTAACAACACACTAATAACCACTCAGAACCCCCAAAACACCTCAACAACACAGTGTCAAACACTCAGAACACACAGCAACTATCTAGTAAGAACCTAGAAACATGACAAACATTCAGTACACATTAACATCTACCTAGCAGTGCCTGACAACACCTTAGAAACAGGTTGAAAACTTCTCGGAACCTTAGCAAACACATATTGCCCTGGAAGCTACCCACAACAAGTTTGGAACAGAAAACACAGCTGACATTTTCTTAAAACAAATGTAGTTCCTCTCCTCATGCACAGGCTTGTTTGAACCAGTTCAGTGAAGCTTCACATCTAAAATCTTACCTCATTATATTGGATTTACTTTCAATTGCCTATTTTTAAAACGGCTAAATTTATATGCATTTGGTTAGTTTAAATTACGAACCCTATAACTCTGTGCACACTCTACTAAAAGACTGATTAGACTGTGGCAGTGGTATCACCAGATGTTTTATTTTTTAATTTCTTCAGCCAGTCAAGACCACCTGAAACTATATCAAAAATCCACATGCTAACAGTTGTGATCACATAGTACCCAAGCCTTGAATTTGATGTATTTAGTAGTGCCATTAGGATTTGAATCAGGGCGGTGATGTTTTTGCCATTGCCCCACAGACTCCCCACAGTCCTTGGGCGTCTTTAGTAAAGAAGACAACAATCCCTTCTCTGATTGGCTTAGCGCTCCCTGCACCTTGGGAGTCAGGATTGCAAAAACCCACGCAGAGCTCACCTGTGGCCTCACGCTCACTCACCATTAACCATCGTTAACCGCCATTAAGAGCTCACCTGTGGCCTCACCCTCACTCACCATTAACCATCGTTAACCGCCATTAACCACCGTTGCGGCTCAGTGTTGCCAAGGCTGCATCTAATTTGCTCAGTGAGGTGTTAATTTGGCATGATCCGTGCTATTTCCAAGTCACTACAAGTTTCAGAGAGAATGTATCTCCACATAAGCAAAAGGCCAATTAATCATCTGATTGTGCTGTGGCTTAGGGAACATTTAGCAGCTGGTAACAGGAGCTTAGGAGATAGATCAGAACCTTTGCCTACTGTATGGAGAAATATGAAGCTAAGAAAAACTCAAAATTGTTCCTCCTCTGTGCAATTTCAGGGGTGCGCAGGTGCACGCCAACAAGGTGGCAGCCGGGGTGAAGAAGAACGACTTGAGCAAGTGGAAGTACGCTGAGCTGCGAGACGCCATCAACACCTCCTGTGGTAAGAGCAATCAGTCCCCTCAATCTGATCGCAGAACTTCCTGCTCACCTGAAGCTGTTCATGTCAAAAAGCATGTCATTTTGGAGATTGGAGACTGCCATGTAATACTTTGGAAGATGGAGGGACTAGCATGTAACATTTTGAAGATGGAAAACAAGCATGATGGAGATGGCGACAGCGCAGTGTTTTTGGAGTGACTGATTTTGTAGCTTGTTCTCAATCCATAATTCATTTATTTTGAAAGTTAATGCATTATATATTCTGTCTTTTTATTTGCAGATTTGTTTATTTGTATTTTATGGTTGTTGAACCATAAATCACAGAGACTTTACTCCCTTTTGTGCTTCACAGAATTTCTGGTCTGTCATGTTGGTTTCATTTTCAGTTGTCTTGACTCAGAGGAATAGTTTACTCCAAAATGAAAATGATGTTATAATTACCTCACCCTTTTGTCAGTTCAAACCCATATGATTTTCTTTCTTCTGTGAAACAAAATCAGATGCTTGGCAGAATTTTCTGGCTGCTCCTTTCCACAGATCAAAAAAATAAATAAATACAGTGATTATGCGCCACAAGGACCAAAAAAGCACCATAAATGTTCTTGAGGACTATATTTTAAGTTTTCTGAAATTATTTAGCGAAGTGAAGTGAAGTGAAGTGACTTGTGGCCAAGTATGGTGACCCATACTCGGAATTTTTGCTCTGCATTTAACCCATCCAAGTGCACACACACAGTAGTGAACACACACACACACACACCGTGAACACACCCCCGGAGCAGTGGGCAGCCACACACACACACACACACCGTGAACACACACCCGGAGCAGTGGGCAGCCATATTAATGCGGCGCCCGGGGAGCGGTTGGGGGTTCGGTGCCTTGCTCAATGATCTCACCTCAGTCGTGGTATTGAGGGTGGAAGAGAGCGCTGGTTATTCACTCCCCCCACCAACAACACCCGACTCGAACCCACAACCTTAAGGTTACAAGTCACTCTCTCTAACCATTAGGCCATGACTGCCCCATTTAGTTGTTATTCATTGAAACCCCCGCTGCCGTAGCTCTCCTTTGTGGTCAGAAATATTCAAAGCTTGAGTATGTGCATTCACTAAAGAGATTTGAGGATCTACTGGTGGGCATGATTACTCAAAGCTATCATATAACTTCAGAAGACTTGAATAATAAATACAGTGAATATAGTGCACAAGTCATATGGACTAATTTTATTATGGTGCTTTTTTTTTGGAGCTGGATTTTCCCTATAAATATTCCCTTTATTGTATGGTAAACAGCAGCTATGACAGGGGTGTCCAGTCCTGCTCTAGGAGCGCCAATATCCTGGAGTTTCGCTCCAGCCAGCTCCAACACACTTGCCTGGAAGTTTCTAGTGAGTCTGAAGAGCTTGATTACTTTGGTTCAGGTGTGTATAATTAGGTTGGAGCTAAACTCCGAACAGTGACCCTCCAGGAACACGTTTGGACACCCCTGGGCTAAGACATTCTGATAAACATCCTGTTCTGTATTCTATTCAAGAAAGAAAGTCATACAGATGTAGAAAATTTAGGTTTAGCAGATTGGTAACCATTTAAGGAATATCTTCATTTAATTGAACGTAGACAAACTTTGTAAAAGTTGTTCCATGTTCATGTTCGGCAAGAATCTGACCACTTATAATGAAAGGTCATGTGAAACTCTGCTTGTTATGCGTGACAATGCAGTATTGACTATGTAATCTCTTACCCTTGTAGATATAGAGTTGCTGGCGGCGTGCCGAGAAGAATTTCATCGTCGCCTGAAGGTGTACCATGCCTGGAAATCAAAGAACAAGAAGCAAAATACAGACACAGAGATGAGGGCTCCCAAATCGGTCACTGACTATGGTAAGATATGACCCGTTTCCCCTACAGAACGGCCTGCATGGTGGCAGAACAACAGAATACAGATTGCTCTGTGCAGTCGTGTGTAGCTGATGATTTCATTTGTAATGGCAAAAGGTGATTCAGCATAATATTTATTCTAGAAAGATACTCGTCTAAACTTTTTTCTTATGCGAATGTGTGTTGCAACAATTTTTCAAGGTTGAATGTGCACTTTTTATTTGTTGTTCTTTTCACGAACCTTGCAGCGCATTTTGTGATTAGCGTTAGCATTGTCATGCACATAATGCAGACAGCTAAAAGCACATCTAAAGGCACTCGCTGCTGTTTCAAGGAAATCAAACCTCTCGTTGATTTTCCTACTTGAAAGGCAAGTCACTGTGTTTGGTTGCTGGCAGACTTTAGTGCTTTTTAAGTGTTTGCTTGTGCAGAACAAACAGGAGATTTAGAGTTCTGTGACCTGCAGGTTCTCTTCAAACTTTCCGGCTCTCTTGTTGTGAAATCCTCAGATGTGTCTTTCCTTCAAACAGTGGAGTGTTTGTATCAGGTGCATGGGGCTTATGCTGCTTCTCTCCGAGAGATGAAATCAGGCTTCTGGCTTTGCAAAGTCAATACTGAAGCACTGAGAACTTCTCTGAGAACTTTCTTGACATTATGTCGACCTCCGAAGCTGTTTGATCTTTAGGGATGACTGATTTAAAAGTCATATATGTCTGGTTGATATATATTTGTGAGCATAAAGTATAAATAGATGGTTTGATATAAAGAATTTGATTTGAACATATGCTACTTTGGTGTTTAACTCAATACTGTACCATTTGTGCTACAGACACGAATGATATCTCAAATCATACAGCGTGTTGAGATGTGAAAAGAGTCCCATTTTACATGAGAAGGACCTGAAAATAGTTATGTAGACTGCAATATAAACTGGGGAAGTCGTGGCCTAACCCAAAGGTTGCGAGTTCGAGTCTTAGGTCCGGCAGGAGTTGTAGGTGGGGGGAGTGAATGTACAGCGCTCTCTTCCACCTTCAATACCATGACTGAGGTGCCCTTGAGCAAGGCACCGAACCCCCAACTGCTCCCAGGGCACCTCAGCATAAATGACTGACGCAGAACAAAATCTTACAGGAGAGGGACTGAAAATTCAAGTAGACCTTTACCTGCTGGTTTTTGTGAGTGGGACAAAATGTGAAAGTCATGGGTGGGACAAATCATTAAAAAAAAATTCCTGGAGTCACTTTCACTTTCAATATCATATGCAACCTGGTCTTCAATGGAGAACTTGAAAGGAAAATAGTCTACTTGGAGATATGGTGCTGATATGCTAAATTTCAGGTTAATTTTGACGATTTACCAAAGCCATGTAACCTGTTATATTACAGTGAATTACAGTGAACCGTTCAGTTTTTCTGAAGTCCAGTTCGTGATAGGCTCCGAGATTGGTCCAATCAAGCTCTGTCACAAGAACCAAAACCATTGGCAAGGGGTGAGCTTTTGGGGTTGAACTTTTGAGTTAGACCTAGAGGTCTGCACTCTGCATTACCAAGTGCGGCAAGGCACAACTTTTTAATT